AGCATGTACATACAATACACTCATACTGTACATAAAATTATAAATGAGACCAATACACATGTGGTGTGATTTATGGCCTCAATAGTTTCTCAGACATGTAAGGAATCACACTACTACTTTAGAAATCTTGGGCTTGAGGAGGAATGAGGGCAAAGGGAGTCTCAAATTCAGGGAGATAATCACAGAGATAGCCCCCATACTTTAGTGCTTCTTCATCTCCAAACTGATGACCTTGAGAAAGGCCTGTCAAGGATGGGTTTCAGGGCATACCCAGTGCCTTTCAAATCATTGGGGCCTTATACTTGCATAGAAGCATCTGGGGCAGTACCCACTTCCCTCGGATACATCCAGAAAGTAGGAGACATGGGCTTCAAAGTACTCAGGGAGGCCCTAAAGTGGTTCTTCCCCCTGGAACTGGTACTGTGACCCAGATTCCACCAAAATAGCCTGATGCCTTCTCTACACACCCTGTCCATCTGGGGCTATCCATTTGAACAATTTTTGATAGCTTTTTCATTATGCTCCTTTGGCCCAGTTTCTTTCTTTCTTCCCATGGTAGCCTGCGTTTGTTTTTGTGTACATATGTCAGGCCCTGTTTCTAAGTCTATCTTTTATCTCCCTCTTCTCATTCCTGTTTTCTGCCATCTTAACTCCTTGGCTATATTTGGATCTGATTCGTTCTCATTCAATCTCAATCTCTCTTCCTCTCTCTCTCTCTCCCAGGACCAACTCCCCTTCCATGTTGTCTCTTCTTTTCTGTCTCTCTGACACCCTCTCTCCCTGTATCATTCTCATATTTTGCTATTGTTTATCTGTCTGCCACTGTCCTTACTTCTTCACATCTCTGTTTTCTATATACTGAGGGTAGAACTCATGAGTGCAGGAACCAAATCTCGTCCAACCACCCTACTGCTCCCAACTCTCACTGAAAACGAAGTGAGGGAGTTGACCATTGCACTGTGTCACTGAAGTCACTGATAGAACTCAAGACCAAAGACTTGTTACTGAGGAATTCCTTCCTCTCAAACGATAAGAAAACTGGACATTGGGGTTTTCCATGGGCAAGGCCTGTAAAATTCGAAGTGAAGATGCCAATCTGTATAGAAAATTTGAACCTAACTCAATATAAAAACAAACTACAGCAGACTTGAGAATGTACACTTGGAACAGGTAACCAAGTGTCAGCCAATCTTAGCAGTCACGCTTCTGGCAATCACAGGCTGCAAACTTGTTCAGACAAGTCCATACAACGCAAAACCAGATAAGATTTTAAGAATGAGTGTAACCTTACCATGAAGTTCCGATCTAAAAAACATTGTATTCAAAGTTGGAGGAAAGGGAACTGAAGCGATTGTCTGGTTTGTTTGATTTTACATGGTTCAGATATTAAGTCTACAGCTGACCACTGTCAGACTGTTAAGTTTGGCGAGCATGAGGGACATCACAGTGCAACTCCTCTGCAGCAAAGTCATATCACTTTTTATTATATTTTAATCAGATAATACATTTAATTCATACTTTTCTTCCAATGAGAGAACTTTTGAAACTGAATGAAAAATTTGTTTTTGAGACAGGGTCTCATGATGTAGTTTAGGCTACTTTGAACTCACTTTATACCTCAGGTTGTCCTCAAAGCACCATGATCCTCCTACCTCAGCCTCCTGAGTGCTGGGATTACAGGCACGTGCCGCCATGCCCACTGAATAAATATTTTTAAAATGTACAGGAAGATAAATTACAAGAAATGGACAATTAAGAACTAGTTTTTTCACTGTCTATACCCTGAAATATATATTTATAGCAGTATGGATATCCTCATGCTTTATCAGTATGATATGGACAGATGCTAAGATAAAAATTTCTTCATCTAACAATATTGGCCCACATTGTTGGAGGGAAGTAAGGTTGATGCACGAACAATCTGAGAGACTGGTCATGGTGGCGCCATCCCAACACTTGGGTGGCTGAGGCAGGAGGATTGCCACAGATTTGAGATCAGCTTGACTACATAATGAATTCAAGGTCAGCCTGAACTACATAGTGAGACACTGTCTCAAATAAACAAAAAAAGAGAGTAAGATAGAGACTGAGAAATAAACAGGTTTTCAGCTCTGTTGTGCTTTGAGTGTTGCTTTATAGCCTAGTCCTGAATTTTAATTTATCTGGATAGATTTCTATTTAAATAATGTTGGAAACTGGTGGCCCAGATGGTGGCAGCAAACAAATATGAAGTGTGTTTCCTCAGTTGAAAAAAAAAAAAACAAAACAAGCCAGAGTAGAGCATGGGAACATGGACAGATGAATATGGCAAGACCTTCCTGAACTCCTCAGTGCTCTAGGGAAAACCCAAGTTCCTCTCTTGGCCCTGTAGGCCCTCCCCAACTGAGCTCTTCACCCGGTCCCCTTTCCTAAGCTACACACCAGAGATTTTTTGTTTATCAAATGCATCATGACGATTCCACATTCAGTCTCTTCGTCTTTGTGGTTCCCTCTCCTTTGGATGCTCTTCCCAGTGGCTGATCAGTACTCACCCATGAGGCTTCAACCTAGAAGCCTGTTTCTGAGATAAGTGCTTTTTCATCAAATCACCAAAATTAATCAATATTTCCTATTTTGTTGCCCCAAAGCCACCTTTAGAGCACCTATCATGACCAAGAATATAATTGCCCCCCACAAGAATATACTTTGTCCCACGCAATCCTAAGTATAAGATGAGCATTAACTCGTTAATTACATCATCTTTTGGCAACTGTTTGGTGAATGTGCGTCTCCCTTGCCATACTTAACATTACCTGGGTCAGACACTATGTGATTTGCTTAATGCATTATCATCAGCCTCCAATGGAGTACTGGCTTCAGACTAAGGCTAATATATGAGGTTTGCTTGCTACTATTGTCATCATTGTTATTCTTGCTTTTGTTGCTGTTGTTACTACATGTTTGCAGTATATGCAGTTTGCAATCATCTTATGGAGTGCCAAGATGTGCCTTCAGGAGATCATATCTCTGCTCAAGTTTCCTCAATGGCTGCAGTGAAGGTGACCTAGGATATTTGGGTTAAAGCAAGTGGAATATGACTAAAATGCTCAGTAAACAAGTGCATGCCACCCTTTGTCTGCAGGAGAGAATGGGAACCACTCTCCAGTATCTGGGAGATGGGTACTGGACCAACTTACCCATGGAGAAGGGAATAAAAGCTTCACTCTTCCTCAGTGCCCCCTTAGCATCCAGAAAGTGATCAGGGTTAAAGGTGTCTGGTCTTTCAAAATGACATGGGTCATGGAGAGCAGTGGACAGGATCGGGTATACTTCAGTGCCCTGAGGAAACGTTACAAAATCAGAAGATATTGCTATTCTTTGGCCTCCACATGGGAAGACATAAGTAAATATATTCAATTAAAGGAAACTGAAAGAAGGTTTCCCTGCTGAGAAGTCAACAAGCAGTTGAGATGTGGGTTAAGAATCCAAAGAGGTGCAAGAAAGATGTGGGACACCAGCTTGTCTCACCTTGGGGAGGATGAACTCTCGGAAGGACGTGTCTTTGGTGACCACATGGGGTGCACCCAAGGGGGCAATGTCCGCAAATCTCTGCATCTCACAGATGACCGCCTCAGTGTATGGCATTTTGCTTCGGTCATCCAAGGCTGGCGGGCGGTGTGAGCCAATCACCTGTTCAATTTCCTTTTGGACTCTCTCTGCACAGAAAAGGGGACAATGAACCCCACATCAAAAAGACATTTCAGCAATGACATTTTTTTCTTTGGACCGGTGAGCTGGAAATACTGTACAGAAAACATTTATCCCATTCACACCTTGAAAGCAATCAGCTGTGGGTGAGAGCAAGAGGGAGAAAATAACAAGAATTCGCACCCTTTAAAATCTATGAACGCTATAAATTATCTCCCCACATCCACAACTATACACACACCACAGCGTTGCATGAATTTTATATGAAGAACTGAAAACTGCTCCTCTACGATCAATAAGAAATGAACCAAGGTTGTTAGCAGTTTCTAAAACATAATAGGAGAAGGAATTAATTCATGAATAACTGGATGATAAATGAATGAATGAATGAATCAATGGCTAAATCAATAAATGAAATGGCTGATGAATGAATGAGATGAAAAAATCAGTGAATAGATATATGTCTTTGATTTATCAATAATATATGGTTGAATTAATCTATTAATAAATGGCTCATAGAAAAATAAGTCAATAAATTCATAGATAATCATATGAATGCTAGATATATAGAGAACTGTATAATGAATAAAGTAGTGAAGGTATGAGTAAATGAAGAAATAAGTGGAGGAAAGGCTTGAATGAAGAGTGATCCGGAGTGAAAAAATGAGTTATGAACTGAATAAGTGAAAGAATGATGGATGAATGAAGCATGAATGAAGCATTGAAAGACTGCTGGTAAGGAATGAAACCTTGTTCAAAGATAGATGAATGGGTAGAGGCATGAGTAATTTAAAGAGCCAATGAATAAGTGAGAAGTATCAGTGTTCAAAGGATCAGCTCGAGTCAATTAATCCAAATAAATGAATAAAGCTGTATGTCCTTCAATGAATCATAGATAAAAGAATCAGTAAATATACAGGTGAATTAATAAACAGATGCAAGGTTGGAGGGATTGTTCAATGTCTCAGTGTGATAGAAAAACAGTAGAAAAAGAGGTGAATAGATTTTTCATTTACATCTATATTCTCAGCACCGGCTTAGTTGAGAGACTGTTCAAAACCTGTAGAGCTCCTGGCATAAGTGCCCACAGTTTTCTGACATCATGGGGTCCCCTCACCCCATCTCTGCAACCCAAAGGGCATCACAAGGCCTTCCCAACTGGCTGTCCATTGCCCACCTGTGATATGGGGATACTTGAGCAAAAACAGGAAGCCATAGCAGAGAGTTGTGCTGGTGGTCTCCGTGCCAGCAAAGAAGAGCGAAATCGAGGTCAGGATGAGGTTCTTGTGGTGGAACTCAGTGTGCTGGTCAGACTTGTCCTATGTCCCAAGCAAGGTGACAGGAGAGGGTCAGGGAAGACTGAAGCCTTGCTGCAGGAAGGGTCATCTGTCCCTCTGGACACACTCCCTCTGTTTCTGGGACTCAGGCAATCTGATTTGCCTTGCATTTTTCTATCTTTGACATCCAGCTGTCTGTCTGTCTGTCTGTCTCTCTCTCTCCCTCTGTTTTTCTTCATTCTACCTCGCTCTGTTTCAATCTCTCTCCATCTCTTTGGCTTGTTTCTCACTTTTGGGGTTCCCATTCTTTTTCCTCCTCTATGCGTTTTTATTGCTTTTTTTTGCCCTTTGCCCTGACTTTTTCTTCAGCTAATACTTGCCTCTTTCTCTTTCCCTCCCATTTCAGTTTCTCCTTCCTATCTTTTGCTGCCTTCCACCTCATCTGCTTTTCACTTCTTCTTCTCCTGATTTCCCTTTCCCATGCAGTCCTCCCCATCCTCTGTTTTCTCCTCCCCTCTCTCCTCCTCTACCTTTTTCCTTCCCTTCCCTTCACATCACCATCCTCCCCTCCTATCCGTTCCCCTCTCCCAGATCTCACTTTGTCCATGCGGAGCAGGAAGGTATCGATGAAGTCTCTGGGGCTGCTGGGGTCCAGGGTGTCACAGTGTTCCTCCACAATGTGGCCAATGAAAGTGTTGACTTCCTGCATGTATTTGTAGATTTGCTTGTGTGGGCCAGGAAAGTGTTTCATGATGTTGGGGAACAGCTCAAACACCTTCAAGAAAGAAGAGGCAGCGAGGTTCACACAGGCTCAGTTAGCAGATCACAGAGGGAAGAAGATGTTCTGGACCCCAAACCTCCATGGGGAAGCCCCATCCCTCCATTGCTCTCTCCTCTGAGTCTACCTCTCTCCTTCTCTTCAGGAACACACACACCCACACACACACACAACTTTTGTGTCTCAGAATCTACCTTTATCCTTAATTTTCTTTTCTCTGTATTCTCTCTTTTCCTCTCTTCTCTCTTCCCAAGCCTTTATTTATCTCCTCCACTTTATTTCTGCATCCCCGTAACTCCTTTCTTTTTGTCAGCCTCTTGGTCCCTGCTCACTGTCTCTCTCTCCCTTCAGGTCTCAGAGTCCCCAACCTCTGTTTTCCTTGCACCCTTCTCCCAGCCCTAAGTGGGTTTCTGGGCCCCCCAAAGCAGGGCATCGTTCCCCATACCCTAGCTGCTCCCCTCACCCCTATCCTCCCTCATTCCCCCACCTGGCTGGAAAAGGAGCTGACGAGTGAAAAGGACTTATAGAACAGGTCCAGCAGCCTCAGGAACTGGTGATCTTTGTAGTCAAAGCGTTTTCCAAAGACAATGGAGCAGATGATGTTGGCCGTCACCGAATGAAAGAGGAATATGGGGTCCACAAGGCCTCCTAGGGAAAACGGCAGCACTTCATGAGACACAGATTCAAGAGCCTGGGGGGCATTTGGCTGCTGTCCTGTCTCTGTGCCTGCTGTCACTCCATAATCAAGATAAGAATAGCAGTGAACTCTGACACTCCTCAGCATGTGCTATGTGCCAGGCTGTACTCTAAGCACTTCTGTTATTTTAACTTAATTCCTCCACAACATTGTAAGGAGATGTGATTCTATTATTCTACCCATTTTATAGATGGATGAATGATTCATGGTTAAATGATTTGACCAAGGTAACACTACTCCCCATCCCTGGGGCCAGATTCAGACCAGGCAGCACAGAGACAGAGCCAGTGCACTTGGCCCCTTCCCTGAACCTCACCCCAAGCCCCTGCTCCATCTTTGTAAGCTGATAAAGTTAAGGCCTGGGGAAGAAGAAGTGCAGCATGTCCAATCCATTGCTTGTGGAAGTTTGAAAGTCCCGATCACTTCTTCACTTCTTTGTCCAAGTTCAAAGCCCAGTCACTCCTCCTCCATCTCTTCCCTCCTCCAGGGCTTGTGTGAGAAGGAGGGAGGCTCTGAGCCCAAGGACCTCAGATAGGTATGGTCCTCCGTCTCTCTCTGTCTCTGTCTCTCTCTCACACACTCTCTCTCTCTCCCTGTCTCTCTCTCTCTTTATGTGTCTGCCTCACATATCTACTCTCACTCATTTACAGACTATTCTCTGACACTTGGCCATGCATTTCTAATTTGTGTCTCACTTTCTACCTTTGTTTTTGCTTCCTCTCTGAGTCTCTGCCACCCTTGTCTCTTTCTCTTCCTTTTGCTCCCTCCATGTCGGTCTCTGCCTCTTTCCTGTCTCTTCCTCCTTCTGTTTTCCCTCTCAGTCTCTGTCCCTGTTGCTTCTCCCCAACTTCAGAAACTCCACACATGACAAAGACCTGGCAGGAATGAAAGAATGCTAACTGCGGAGGTGCTAACACAGAGTCCTGTCACTTCTACCTCCCTGTTACTGAGGACCCAAAAGGAACTGAAAATGCTCCGCAAGAGCAGAGCACCCACCTGCCCCTTTGCTCACTGCCTGCTCAAAAGCACTTCTTCAAGGGAAGGAAAATACAGTTTACTATTTTCACATCTGCTGTTCCTCTTTTGCCCTTTGCTTTCTTTTACACAAGAAAGCCTTGTGTAAAAGCTTTTGACACATACAGTTAACCCATGAATTGTTTTCTTTGGACACAAATTACTAGCATGGAATCACTGAGCCTGATTCTCCAAGTTATTCTTGGACACTCTAAACCTCACAGCTGCTTTCCTGGCTGTGCTGCTCTGGTGCTTATCTCTGTTCATTTCTATCCCATCTCTTTCTGTCCCAATGCCTCTGTCTGTCTCTGTTTCTATGCATCTCTGCCCCTGTGCAGCTCCCTGTACTTCTGTTGCTGTGCACCCCGCCCCTCTCTCTATCCTTGTCTTCCTTTCCTACCCACCCCACCC